ACGACGGACGACGACGACAAGGACGACGAGGACGAACGATTGGCGACGAAAGAAGGACGCTGATGACGACAACGACAACGAACGATGACGACGAAGACGCCGGCAAAGACGACGACGACGACGACGACGACGGCTGCGACGACAACGACGACGACGCCCAACGACGGCGACGATGACGAACGACGGGCGACAAACGACGACGGGGACGACGACGACGACGACGACGACGGAGACGACGACGACGACGAACGACGACGACGAACGACGGGCGACGAACGACGAATGCTGACGACGACGATGATGACAACAACGACGACGACGCCGACGACGGGCGACGACGACGAACACGACGAGGACGACGACGACGGACGACGACGACAACGACGACAACGAACGACGACATGAAGACGACGACGATGACGACGACGACGACGACGGCGACGACGACTACGACGACAACGACAACGACGGACGCTGACGACGACGACGACGACGACGACGACGACGACGACGACGACGGACGACGGACGACGGACGACGGCGATGTCGACGCGGGCAACTACCGACGACGACCATCGACGACGACGACGACGATGACGACGACGGCCGACGAACGACCGCGACGGCGATAAAGACGACAGCGAACGAGGACGACGACGAAGACCCTGACCACGACCACGACCATGACCACGACGACAACGACGGCGACGTCGACGCGGACAACCACCGACGACGACCGCCGACGGACGACGACCCACGACGACGACGAAGCGACGACAACCATGATTGCAACCCACGATTCAGACCGACGAGGACGGGCGCAAACGTTGCGTGATGGACGGTACACAACGCTGAACGACAGACGAGGATGAGAACAAGCGAGTAAAAGCGATGACGACAAAAGACAACATGACAACGACTACGCCGACGACGACAGACAACCACCGACGACCGACGACGGACGACGACCGACGACGAGAAGGACGGCGACGACGACGAAACGACGATTATAATTATGACCTTTGCTTGCGACTGAGGACGGACGGCAAACGACGGGCAATGATTGACAAAAGATGCTGAACAACAGGCGATGTTAAGAACGACAACGAACGACTGAAAGCGACATCGACGACGAACAAAATCGACAACAACGACGACCACGACAACGCCAGACAACGAACGACAACGACGACGACGACGACGACGACTGACAACAGACAACGGACGACGACCACCGACGACGACGACGGCAACAGACAACGACTACGACGACGACGACGACGACAAGCACGACGACAACGACGACGGCGACGACAACGACGCCAGACGCCGACAACCCACGACGTCAGACGGACAACGACGACGACGACGGACTGCGAATCGCGAATGTAACACTACCTATACGACCACCCTTCGGGTGATAAGGAGGTTGTGTGTGGGGGGGGGAGACAAACGTCTGACTCAATTGATCTCACTATCGATCTCACTATCGATCGCAAAATTGATCTCACTGTCGATCTCACTGGTCTCACGATCGATCTCCCTATCGATCTCACTATCAATCTCACTATCGATCTCACGATCGATCTCACGATCAGTCTCACTCAACGGGACATCATAGGACACCGCGGGACACCTGTCGATCTCACTATCGATCTCACTATCGATCTCACCATAGATATCACTATCGATCTCACTCTCAAAAGGACACTACGGGAAACCACGGAACACCTGTCGATCTCACTATCGATCTCACGATCGATATCACTATCGATCTCACTGTCAACGGGACCCCACAGGACACCACCGAACACCACTGGACATAACGGGACACATGTCGATCTCACGATCGATCTCACTCAACGGGACACCACGGGACACCACGGGACACCGTGGGACACCTGTCGATCTCACTGTCGATCTCATTCAACGGGACCCCACGGGACCCCACGGGACACCGCAGGACACCGCGAGCCACCGCCGGATGGACGGACGGACGGGCGGGCGGGGGAGAATCATTTGCCTTGACTTCGCCCTAGCAACGGCGGGACACCACGGGACACCACGGGACACCGCGGGACACCGCGAGCCACCGCCGGACGGGCGGGCGGGGGAGAATCATTTGTCTTGACTTCGCCCTAGCAAAGGCAGGGCACCACGGGACACCACGCGACCACACGGGACACCGCGAGCCACAGCCGGAGGGGCGGGCGGGGAAGAATCATTTGTCTTGACTTCGCCCTAGCAACGGCGGGTTCATTCCTCTCGCGCGCCCACGCAGCTTCGCCTCGCCCGCACGCACGACACGAACGAAACGAAACGACTTCCTGGTTGGGGGTCTCCGTTCCACTGCGATCTCACTCGCCGACCTCCGATAAACGACCTTGGGTGGCAAACGACGATGACAACGATCACGAACGACTAACTACGACAACGACTACGAAGAACGACAATACGACGACCGACGACCGACGACGGGCGACGAACGGCGGGCGACAACAGGCGACGACCGGGCGACGGGCGACGGGCAACTGGCGACGACGACGATCGACGGACGACGGACGGCGAACGATGGGCGATGAACAATAAACGACGCTGACCGACAGAAGATGGTGAAAGCGACGACTAACAACGACAACGACCACGAATGAGAACTACGGCAACGGCGGCAACGACCGCCGACGGGCGACGACGACACGACGGCCGAAGACGAACGATGACGACGAACGACGACGACGGCAACGACGACGACTAACGACGCCGACATCAAGACGTCGACGATGACGACGACGACGGGCGACGACGACGACGACGATGACGACAACGACGTCGGCGACGACGACGGCGGCGGCGGAGGCTGCGACGGCGACGGCGACGACGACGACGAGAAATACGACGACGACGACGACGATGACGACGAACGACGACGACCGACGACGACGACGACGGATGACGATCGACGACCGACTACAGACGATGGGCGACGACGACGGAGGATGCCTAACGCACGACGGCGACATCGACGATGAGCGATTGACGACGAACAGCGGCCGGGATCGCGATGCACGTCGTCCCCCACGCGGGCGTGATCCCGGACAACACCCTAGGAGCGTATTTGTTCTAATTGCTATCTCTGCCTAAATGGTTTCTCTATCATGGGTTTTCTTTAGGTGATCTTTGGCTCCTATTCTGTTTTCTTACGCTCTCAACACGGGGTGGCAAACCCATTCCCTCTTCGGGGGGTGCCCTTCTTCCTGGTTGTTTCCCCGCTCCTTCCTGGCGGGGCGGGAACGTGCAACACCCCGGAGTTCCAGGGGAGGCCGTTGGGATTCCCTTGGGATCCTCCCTCCCTCTTTGGGCTCCGGGGGCAGGAGGTTGTTGCGCCTGATCACCGCGCGACCTCCTCTTGGGCTCTGTATTTGTCTCGCTTTCTGGCTTCCTGATCCTTCGTGGCCGCCACTCTTCTTGCCGTCTCGTAGGGGTTACCCGGATAATCCAGGACAATATTCTAGAAGCTCACTACTCTCCTGGGAGTCCTTTCCCTGGGGGGTGTTAGCCGTAGCGTGGCCGGGGTCTGGGCTCACCCCCGTGCCCATCCTCCTCCTCCTCCCTCCTTCCTGCCCTCCCCGTGGCACGGGGTTCCCAGGGCTGCCTTGTAACGGTTCACTCCCCCCTCCTGGGCGGGGGCGTTCTTTTATCGGGTTTGTTTTTTCTTGGTTTCAGTGGGCTCTGAGTTGCGTTTATCTGCACGCGTCTATCCATGGGACCTTGGGGGCGATTGTGCCCACGGATGTTATTCCAGGTCTGTTCGGTCATTGTGTCCACAAGGCCGAAGCCTACGTGCTGAGGCTGGGCGGCCTACGTGCCACGGCTTACATGCCGAAGTTATGACCGTTCAGGCCGGCTGCCCTTCTTGGGGGTCCATGTTGTTTGATTATTACACCCGCTAGAATTATTACTGCCCAGAGGGTGAGGGTTTTGGCCCTTGTGCACCGATTAGTACACCCTTCATCCCTCGTCTGCATATGGGTTTGTTTTCTTTGGCCGCCCTGCCTCATCCTCCTTGTGGTCTCGATAGGCGCTCGGTCTTTGTCTATTGCTTCCACCCTGCGGCTTCTTGTACCGGAGGTGGCGGTTGGGGGGCCCATAGGTCTGGCCGTCAACCCCAACAACAACGACGAACAGCGGCCAACGAACGACGGCATACGGCGCGTTCGTGTTGTGACGCCATGCGCGTTGATCTCCGACACCGCGCGCGGATCCTTCAACCAGCTCTTGTGCGATCGCGGCTCTCCGATGGCGCGGACCGCTCGGCGCCGGCCGATCCTGCGACGACGACGACGACGACGACGGCAGCGGCGAACGACGGGCAAAGGACCATAAACGACGCTGACCGACAGGCGATGATGACAACGACGGAAGGGCGACTGAGAACGACAACGACGACGACAACGACGACGACGACGACGGACGACGACGACAACGGACGAGGAAGACGGCTGCGACAACGATGGACCACGACCGACGACCGATGACCGACGACGAGCGACGACGACGACAACGACGTCGACGACGGCATCCCTGACCCCCGACGTCGTTGACCTCTCCCAGCGGCGGCGGCCTTGAGGTTCTTTCGAGACCCCCGTCCGTTGGCGAACCTCGACGACGGACGACGACCGCGACGACGACCGCGACGACGACCACGACGACGGCAGGAGACGTCGACAACGACGACAACGACGACGACGTCGACGACGATAGCCGACGACGGGCGACGAGCGACGAAGAGCGACGAAGAGCGACGACGACGAAATCGACGACGACGAACAAGACGACGACGACAACGACGGGTGACGGGCTACGGGTGACGACGACGACGACGACGACCAACAATCGACAATACAAGATGACCGACGACGACGACAACAACCACGATTCCCGATTACGACCCACGACGACGGCGATGACGACGCGCCTCGACGGTGCGGGAGGGGCGGCGCCTCAGCCCGTAACGGCTGCTCAGGAAGCCAGGCACGGAGCCGTGCTGGGCAATGCGCTGCAACACCAGCAGCAACTCCATCAGCTCTCGGTCGTCCTGAGGAGGGCGACCGAGATCTAGACATGTCCGCTGATCCTGGCCAGGCGCATCTTGGGCCCAGGACGGGCCTGGCCAGGGGCAATGGATATGCGTAGATCCCGTCTCGGGAAACCTCTGGGCTCTCGGTACCGATACCCCTGCTCCCCCCAACCTCTCCTGCGGTGCGTTCTGACCAGGATTTCGAGGCGAATCCAGCGGTGGCGACGAGGGCCCCCCAGTAAGGCCGAAAAGGGGAAACCAGGCACAGGGCAGCGACAGGGAGGGATGAGCCCACGAAGTCTTCGTCGCCCCCCCAAACAAAAACCGGCGACGGCCGCTTGGTCGGGAAGGGAAAACTGGTCAGGTCAGCGCTCCTTCCCCTCTTTCCCCCCCTCCTCCCTCGAGAGGGGCGAGGAAGGAAGGGGAGAGAGGAGGGGCAGGAGCACTGACCTGACAAGTTTTCGATTCCCAACTTGGGGCGTGCCCTCCCACCTGGGCCTCTGCGGGCCCGCCTCGGGGCCCAGGAGCTGTGAGGGAACGACTCGGGACGACGGGCCCTGGATCCCTGGAGGTCCCCGCCCCTCCACGGGGAGGGAACGGCTGATCCTCCGTCACTAGAGGCCTCCCAAGTGCGGTCCGGATAGCTGAGGTCGGAAGATCGCGCCGAAGCCGTGAGGGAACGACTCGGGGGGGCGGTGGAGACCTCGGGGGGATGCACATGGCCATGGCGAAACAATCGCGACGTCATAGGTCCAGGGACGCCGCGACTCTTGTGGTGGCACGTGCTCCCAGGGATCTCGGCCCCTTCCCCAGGGTGGCCCCTTCATCCAAGGTCGTTCTGATGACGGTCCCTGGGCCAGGAAACAGCCTCCAAAGACCGACACCGGCCCAAAACCAGACGCCGCGATTCTGCTGCGTGGCCGAGACCTGCGGGTGAGGAGAGGGGGGGGCCGAAGAGGCCGCAGCCGGCAGTGCAAAAGGAGGGCGCAGGAGGTGGCAGGAGAGGACCAGCCCGGAGGCGGCAGGAGAGGACCACTAAATACGTCGAAATAGAAGTTCTTCCACCCTCACCCCTCATCATCCCTCCTCCGCCTTCTCTCCTCCGCCTCCTCCTCCTCCTCCTCCTCCTCCTCCTCCCTCCTCCTCCCTCCTCCTCCTCCTCCTTCTCCTCCTCCATCTCCTTCTCCTCCTCCTCCTCCTCCTCCTCCTCCTCCTCCCTCCTCCCCCCCGTCCTCCTCGCCCGCTCCTCCCACGCCCCTTCGCGCGGATGAGGTGAGACGGGGACGAGGGAGGATGGGGCAGGAGAGGGGCATGAGATGGCAGCAGGGGTGCCAAAGAAGGGAGTAGTAAGAAGAGGTAGGAGAAAACAAGATGAGGAGCCCTGCTCCCTTCTTCTTTGAATACCCCCCTTCCTCCCCTTGTGATTTCGATCTCTCATCCGTCTTATCCCCATCCCCTGCCTCCTCCATCTCCCATTCTACAACCATCACCTCATCACCACCGTCATCATCACCGCAACCTATAATCATCATCATCATCATCATCATCATCATCATCATCATCATCAGCATCATCATCATCATCATCATCATCATCATCATCATCATCATCATCATCATCATCATAATCATCATCAGCATCATATGATGATCATCAACATCATCATCGTCATCATCAGCATCAGCATCAACATCTGCATCAGCATTATCATCACGATCATCATGATCATGATCATCATCATCATCATCATCATCAGCATCAGTATCAGCATCAGCATCATCATCGTCATCAGCATCATCATGATCATGATCATCATCATGATCATCAAGACCATCGCCAGCTCCCTCCTCCTCCTACTGCTCCTCATCCTCCTGCCCTTCATACGCCTCCTCTCCTCCTCCTCCTCCTCCTTCTCCTCCTCCTCCTACTTCTGCTCCTCCTCCTCCCCCTCCTTCTTCTGGTCCTCCATTCTTCTCCTTATGAATAACTCCTCCTGGTTGCATCTCGAGGCCGGTCGTCATCGTCAGCATCATCATCACTACCACCACCATCCTCCCCGTTTTCCTCTTCATCAGCATCATTAGCATCACCATATTCATCATCATCACTATCATCATCACCAGCAGCATCATCATTATCAGGATTTTTCATCATCAACGTCAACAGCAACATCAGCATCATCATCATCAGCAGCAGCATCATCAGCATCATCCTCATAATCATAATCATCATCATTATCATCATCACCGCCATCATCACCATCTTCATCGTTGTCATCAAACTCATCATTATCACCATCAACTGCATACTCATCATCATCATCATCATCATCATCATCATCAGCATCATCATCATCAGCATCATCACCACCATCACGTTCGTTATCAGCAGCATCATCAGCATCATCGTCATCATTACCACCACGACTCACCATCACCATCACCAGCATCAATATTATCACCAGCAGCATCATCATCAGAATCCGAAACACAATCATCATCAAGACCGGCATCTCCATCATCATACCCAGCATCAACCCTAGCATCATCTTCATCATCGTCGCCGTCGTGCCTAACTGTTGGCCACTTGGTTCGGCCCTCACGGGATCGCTGACATTACAGTCCTAATCCGCTTCTCCTGCGCATCCTGAAAATCCTCGCACCTCGACATCCTCCTCCCCCTGATCCTCCAATCCTTCCTCCCTTTTCCCCCCATCACCATCAACACAATCAGAATCGTCATCGCAATCGTCGTCATACCATCCTCATGCTATCCGTCCTCCTCCTTCTCATCCTCATCATCATCATCATCAGCATCATCATCATCAGCAGCATCATCATCAGTATTCGAATTGTTCATCGTCAACGTCAACAGCATCATCATCAGCATCAGCATCAGCATCATCATCATCATCATCATCAGCATCATCATCATCATCAGCATCATTATCGTCAGCAGCATCATCATCGTGATCATGATCATCGAATCATCTAATCATGGTCATCATCGTCGTCATCATCAACAGCATCATTATCAGCCGGATCAGCACCATCGACATCATCATCGTCACCACAACCATCGTCATCGACACCAACATCGGCAGCATCATCATAATCATCATCGTCATCGTCAGCAGCATCACCAGCATTATCATAATCATCATCAAGACATGGTTACCACCATGATCATCACAGCTTCGTCATCATCATGTTCAGCCTCAGCATCGTCACCATCATAAACATCATCATCAGTAGCAGCATCATCACCATCGACATCATCGACATCAATCGTCACTAGCACCATCATCGTCAGCATCACCATTATCAGCAGCATCATCATTATCATCAGCATCATCACCATCACAGGCATCATGATGGTCACCATTATCATCACCATGGTCGCCATCATCATCATCATCATCAGCTGCAGCAGCAACACCTTGGTCATCATCAGCATCAGCATCACCAGCAGCATAAGCATCATCATCAGCAGTATCATCACCATGAACAGCATCGGCAGCATCAGCCGTATAATCATCGTCACCATCATCATTATCATCATTGTCATCATCACCAGCGTCATCATCATCATCATCCTCATCGTCATCGTCATCGTCAAAATCGTCAGCATTACCACCACCACCAACTACCACCACCACCATGCTCAGAAGTGACACCAACACCATCCAGATCATCCGCATCAGCATCATCACCAGCATCAACATAATTATAAACCTAAACATCAATCACAACACACTCTCCATCATCCGTCATGATCATCAGCACCACCACGATACCCATCGTCATCGACAACATCAACATGTCCGCATCCTCCTTATTTTCCACATCCTCCGTGTCCTCTTCATCTTCCGCATCCTCCCCATCATCCTCATCCTCTGCATCCGACCCGTCCACTCTTGACATCCCCCCCCCTCGTCCGTATCCTTCCCCTCATCCTCTGGCAGCCTCCAAAGTGGAAGAGGTCTTCTTCCACAGCCCCTCTATCGGCCACCGCATCCTGACACGGGCCTCATCCCCCGCCACTTCATTCGCAGTATCCTCCGAACCATCCTCGCCTCCTCCTCATCCTGCGTCTGCATCTCTTAATCCGCCTCCTCCTGCTCATCCCCAAATCCGTCTCACCTAGACCTCCCCATCCCCTTCATCATCCAATCCTCTGTCCCAATCTTCTTCACCACCACCACCACCACCGCCGTCACCATCACCAGCACCATCACCATCATCACCATCACCATCACCATCACCATCACCACCACCATCATCACCACCACCATCATCATCAGCATCAGCATCAGCATCAGCATCATCATCATCATCATCATCAGCATCATCATCATCAGTATCTGCATCATCATCAGCATCCTCATTGTCATCATCACCAGCGTCATCATCATCACCAGCATCGTCATCGTCATCGGCATCGTCGGCATCACCATCATTGACATCATCATACTCATCATCAGTAGCAGCAGCAGCGCCACGATCATCACCATCATCATCAGCATCATCAGTATCGGCATCATCAACATCATAACCATCAACAGCATCGTCATCATCACCAGCATCAGCATAATCAGCATCGTTCTCAACATCATCATCAGCATCATCAGCATCATCACCATCACAATCGTCATCACCATGTTCATCAGCAGCAGCATCTGCATCAGTAGCACCATCATCGCCATCCACAGCCTCATCACCAGCATCAACATCAGGGTCAGCATCAGCATCATCATCATCAACAGCAGCACCATAATCATGATCATCAGCATGACCATAAACAACAACAGCATCATCATCAACACCAGCAACGTCATCATCATACTCGTCAGCATCATCGACGTGAATCAATGATCAGCATCATCAGTATCGTCATCAGAAGAATCAGCGTCACCATCATAGTCATTATCAATCGTCATAATCAGCATCATCAACATGATCAGCATCATCATCATCATCAGCATCACACTCATCAACGTTATCATCCTCATCGTCATC